TTACTGTAGAAAATCCGAATGTGGAGGGTTTTGTTCCATTCTTAAATACAAAAGTCCGAATAAGAGATGGAGCTACAGAATTAGTTTGGTATAAGAAACCAGCATCAAAAAATGTATTATTGCACGGTAGAAGCTGCCATCCTACATATATGAAAGCCAACATAGTACGGAACCTAATAACCACCAAGGAGAAAATTTGTACCCAACAATCTTTCGAAGTAGATTCGATGGTGGACAATATTCTAAGGGAGAACGGTTATGTAAAGCACCAATATATACATGGAGACCACACTCGACACCAGATGGAATATCCATGGTGATGCCATATGTCAATGAAAACACGGCATTAAAAGTGAACAGTGTGGTCAAAAGTTCGCCTCTCCCGATACGATTAATATTCCGTCCGCCACCGAATCTCAAACGCCTACTCACATACTCAAGGCCCTATGAAGAAAAATGCGGCAGAGAGGGTTGTAGCTACTGTATCGATTCAAAAATATGTCAGCTCAGGGGGTCAGTTTACTTAGTAGAATGTCAGGGATGTGGGCAAAAATATGTCGGAGAAACGATGAGACCTCTTCATAGAAGGCTAGATGAGCACCGCAGGGCACTGAGAAATCCGTCAGCTTATCCTAATAGCAGTTTCTCCAGGCATCGTACAAAAGAACATGCACAAGAAAATCCCCCTACACTAGCAGTTAAAGTGCTACACCGCTCAATAGTACACCGCTCAATAGAGAGCACAATGGAGAGGAAAATACTGGAAGCCCTTGAGATAAAACGCTTATCACCCGAAATAAACAGCAAGGAAGAGCTACGTGACATCCTTCAAATTGTCACATAATATCATGCATTCCAATCGCTGCATGCCCTTCCTAATATTTAAGGGTGCGAGTAGGGTAGGTTATCCTATTTCTCGTTGGGTAAGTTTGAAGGTTTACGGAGGCAGAACACGTGTGAGTTGGTCCAATATATCTTGTATATTGTCCGGCTTCACTAAGAAAAGCTATTTCAGGCCTGACGAAGGTGCTAGGCACCGAAATATCGCAATAATTTTGGAAAGCTTTTGAGATTGAGTTCTTTTGAAGCTTTTGAAGCTTTTGAAATAAACTTTTTGGAGCCTCGAATTGTTGTTCAACATTTAGATACCTATGAGGCTTCGGGACAGCACCATTCTGAGACATCTGATAATTGTCCTGGTGGTAACTGTAACTTTCGAGTCTCCGAATTTTCCATCTGTGGTGGTTCCAAACTTATTGAAGAGTTGAACTGTTGCCCATAAGAGCTTCCCTGATACGTTAGACTGCCGCTAGATGTAACGTGCCAGAGCCCCTAGTGAGTTCAATTTGAGGACTGACGTAAGTGAAGTAGTTATTTCACTAGTTTTGAGAACTGCATGAAATTTGGTTTCATTAGGAAGAAGACATTGTACCCTCTCACATAGTGCACAGAAAAGGAGATGAAAATGGAGCGACTCGGAAAAAAGTGGATATGACCGCGCGCGCACGCGGTCCTCATAATTTTGGACCACCCTGTATGCGAATCGGTCGAATGCGTGACATTTCAGAAGTCTGATCTACAATAAATGTTCTGTTTTACGTACTTCACCGTCATCTTCTTACGAACTCACCAAAATTTTCAGTAATTGCGCTGATTATGCTGAGATTTACCAATTTAGTAAAGGTAGCAGGTGAAAAGTTGAACCACCTTTGAAACTGAGGTTTTTGTGATTCAGAACGTCTTCTTCTACTTTCGCATTGACGCTCAGCAAACACGCCTAAGTTCCATACAGCCTATTGTGAAAACAGACTATGATTCAGTATGCAAATCACTTGGGCGGTAGCAGCAGATGACTCCTGTCGGGGAGAGCTTTTAAAGGCAGAAACGGTTTCAGAGACGTTGCGATTACTTCGAGCTTCAGCTGGTTCAATCTACCAGAAGAGCGTCACTTGTTCGGTAAGTTTTTATCATCAGTAACAAGAATTCTCCACTGAGGTGGAAAAACACAGGCACTATGCCAAAACTTTGACTATGATTGGTGGCACCCGTGTTTATCAAACATTGCAACAAACTTTTTAAGATAGTGGCGCTTGTTCGAAAACATAAAACAACAAAGAAAAATCAATAGCTGTTAGTCTGAAGACTTATATAATCCATCCCTCTCAAGAAAATCCGACCAGGGCTAGCCGTCGGAGCACTGAGCCCTAGCGAAGTCATTGTCAGTGAGAGCTTTTCCAGTAATAGTGGTTGCCAAAAAGATCGTGTGTTGTGAGTTGTTGTAATGGTGGTCGCACCAATATGAGATGGGACAGAACAATTCTGAAGCTCCAACGCACACATAATTTGTTGTGTCAAGTGAAACGTGTAAGCGAACTCCGGAAGAAGGGCATTTTTCCAGATGAAAGCGAGTCAGGAGGCGAGAAAGAGACCTCTGTCTAGTAACAGTGGCAAAATCCGGCTCCCGGATTCTGTTGTTCAGATTACGAAGGATTGAGCTTTCTTGGGAAACTCTAACTACGACAGGATGAAGCGGAAGCCCACAAAATTGAGAGAATAAGGGAAGCCGGTGGACACAACACATCCTTGCAAAATTTATTTCACGACTGGGGTGGATGAATTTTCATCACATATTGTCTATACTGTGTATTATTCGCTGAGCGCGTTTGTGTGGCAGAAAATTCATGACACCACTTGTTTCGATCGCAGAGCATGCAAGCTGCTGAATGATCGAGGCGATGTGATGAAAACAACACGTTGACGACCGCGCTATTTTTCGCTGTCTGGCGTGTGGGACCGCGCGCATTATTTTGACCGCGCGAGTGTGACATGGCATCATGTCAAACGGTCCCACGAGAACTCCTTTTTCTCAGGAAGTGTGTATTTGTTATCTTTCTTGTGTGGTAGGTCTCCGATTATGCGATTTTGGCCATTTTAGCGATTCCTGTGATTTGATCATTATTCAAACATTTTTAGAAAAACTCGATAGCCCATCAACCGAAGCTTCTTTCCAGGGACCACGCCTTTTGTAACAATGCCTAAGTATGGCGCATACATCACGTAAATAAGTTACCTAAAATGTTTGAAAACCAGCTTAAAAAAGACTGTGACATGACATCATGTCACACGGTCCCACGTGGCCGAAAGAGTGTGGTATGACATCATACCACACGGTCGTCAACGTGTTAGGTGGCGGATAGTTGCAACAGCAGAAAGAGCTGAGAGCTTTCGTCTAAATGCCAGTGTCTACAATGCCTCTCTCATGTACACTAGAATGTCTAAATCAATTGGGTCATTTCTAGAGATGTCGACACAGATAGTGGACGGTGGTAGGCAATAGCTACCGATAAGAGCTGATTACATCACATTAGAAGGCAACAATTTTGTTGACTTCGCCTGATAGGAGAATGTCTGCACTCATAGCTGCAACGAATGAAAATTGTAGGTGATAGAAAGTGAAAACGATGAATAGGATTGCAAAATCTGCTCAGAAAAAGTGCCACCAATTTCCTAACGCTTTTCGCGGCAAAGTTCTCACTTGTCTATTGAAACAATAGAAAGTTGGAGACCAACTTCGACCGTTGAGAACACTACCGAAAGAATGTGATAAAATCCACTGCGCTTCTGACAACTACAGAACGACCAATGTGCCTGAGTGTCCGCCATTCGGTTTTTGCGCTTGTGCATGAGATGATTTGAAACTTGCGCTCCTGTGGCGAAAACGTTGTTATGGTGGTACATAAAGAGACAAAGTAAGTGCATTAGTGGTTGTTAAAGGGTTAAGCTGGCAGAGCAAGCTCCACTGAATAGAAATGTATTGCGAGTAGATCGTAAACGAGCTTCAATCCGATAATCAGGAGTCTGTCAGCAACTTTATGTATCTGCGCTTGATCAGCACAGTGGAAGTGTTCAATTGATAAGAGTTATATGCCTGTTCTCGTTCTGTTCCGCTGTCTTGCTAAAAAGTAGTGAAAGTCATATAGAGAACGGTGGGAGGGGGAGGCTCAGTTAGCTATGTTCCGGTGTGGCGCGTAGAGTAATCTGCTTATTAAGAGTTGGTCTCAGAATAAGCTTTGAGGTGGCAACAAGGCTCATCGTCGTTGTTTGTTGACATGATTGCAGGCTATGTCATTTTACAGTCTTCTCGGCATTTTGGAATCACATGAAATTTCACTTTAATAGTGTTTTTTGCAGTAGGATTGACCAAAAAAACGTAAAAGTTTTGCCTACACTTATTTTAGGTGAGATTGGTGGTTTTTACAATAAGTGCTAACGACGTCATGCCGAGCAGGTACGTCCTTAGTCGCCATAGTCAACTCTAGGGTGAGAATTACTGTGATATTGAATAACTAAACAAAAGTTTCTGACAGACGTTTGCTGCAAATTTGTCTCTTGATCAGCTTGGGCGCTGTTTGTTCTGCTTCTACAGGACCAGACGATACAAGCAATGACGCCACTCCAGATGCGCAAGAAAAGTGGGACAAGTGCTTTTGAATTTCAAATTTGTTATAATAATTTTCCATTTGCATGAAATTCTGGGCAATTAGTCATACAAGTAATTATGAGACTTGACCCTAATTATTTCTATGAAATTCCTTCGGATAATTCTGTGGACATCGAAGAAAACCACAAGTCCTGGATCCACTACAACTCTTGGTCTTGGAAAGAAGAAAGCATTTGTGAATTGGGTGTATCCACTCGATGGTTATAAGGCTGCAACGCTGTGACAAACATTCTTCCTACATGTATCTATACCCTTATATAAGTTTCTTTCAGTCCTGAAAGGAAAAACCCCTGTTTCAATTTACTTCCAAGTATTTTGAGAGTAAGATTACCTTCACCATTTTGTCTTGGCCATTTGGTCGGGGAATTCCGATAAATTCGAACTAGAACGTGATTCGAAATCATAACCCATTTCCTCAATTTGCAAGCAGCGGAGTTATATTCGAACAATAGAATTTTCCGTTTTGTTTCTCAAATTTTTGAATATTTATCATTTCAGCATGTCGATAATTCGTCCGAAGCGATGGAGCACTGGTTGGAGCGGATGGGGCGGTGGATATAGTTACCCGTGGAGCGGATTGGGTAGTGGATGGAGCACTGGAAGTTACCGTCCCCTGGGGTGGATGGAGCAGTTTGGGGCACTGGATACAACCGCCCCTGGAGTGGATGGGGCAGTGGATGGGGTAGCGGATGGGGTAGTGGATGGGGCACAGGACATAGCCGCCCATGGGGTGGATGGGGTAGTGGATGGAGCAGCGGATATGCTCGCCCATGGAGCAGTGGCTGGGGATCGTACACATACGGATGATCAGCTTTGATCCGGCCGACGATATTATTAGTGCTTCAGTGTAGTACGCTACATTGCTGCTTTCAGTTAATGGTGCATTAATAGATGTTGCTTAAGCGCTTAACAATGCGACGTTTGTGACACTGTAGTTTCTGTTGCAATAAAAATTGACAGCTGTGTCTAGTATTTCACTGCTTCGTACTTCGTACTGTGGATCCACTGAAGTAAAGATCCTTTTGCGTGCATGAACTAGGCGAGTTTCTTCGAGAAATTTATGCAGTGAATCGGCATCTGCACGGATTCATTGAGGAAGCTTCATTATAGATAGCGCTGTGCCCGTTGATTGCAGTGATAGTGAAGGGATTCGTCCAAAATGCTGAAAGTGCTCGCTTGAGAGTTTTTCGGTATTAAGCCGGGATGTCTTTTTCAGTGAAGATGGAG